TATGGGCATTGTAATGGGAGATGACTTTTTTCTGGAACTGACCATATTCACACAAAACTACCAGTCTTGTTGGCCTTAGCTGCTTCTTCATCTCTCAGATGAAACTCAAAAAAGCATTTTTCCAGTTCAGCTTTCCTTGACTGCATGCATCATCACTCCCCACACATCATCCTCCTTCCCAAGAGATGTATTATTACAATATATTTTGAGATTCCATAAAGAAATGCAGCTCCTGAAATCAGACTACCAAACGCCAGCCCTATCAGTAACCTATCTGAACGACCTTAGTTCAGTTCTTCAACCTCAGTTAAAAGGGAATTTCTTCATTTGTACAGCAGGAACAATGATAGGAGTCATATAACTCTAAGTTACTAATGATATTAAATTATATATAAAGCATTAAGCACAGTTTCTGGCTCAAACCAGGCACCCAATGACTATAAACCTTATTGTTATTACTGGGCAATGCTTAAAGTTGTAGAGCTAAAGAATAAAAATCTCACTATGCTTTTCTGAAGTAAATGCCTGTGTGTGTGTGTGTGTGTGTGTGTGTGTGTGCATGTGCACATGAATATATGTGTGTTAGTTCTTTGAGACACATTAAATTTAACAGAGTTAATAAGTGTTTTCACCAACCCCTGTACCATTTTATCTTTGAGTTCTGTGGCATGTACGTTTATTCTTTATATTTCAGAGATCTTCTACTAAATTTCAGAGCACTGTTTGCCAGAGTGGATATTAAGTGTGCTCAGCAATTTGTAATGACTCTAGTGAATCCATATAGCAGAGAGAAAAAAAGAGACATAAATTTGAGACCACGACTAAAACAAACAAAAAATTTTGCAGGGCCATTAGAAATTGTCATCCGACCTCCTACTCTTTCAAATAAGAAAACTGAGTCCCAAAGGGATAGTAGGACTACTGCAAAGCCACACAGTCAAGTATACAAATGACTAAAAAGAGACAAAAGCTAAAGAAATAGGAGTCTATAGTAAAGAGAGAAAAGAAATGAGATGAAAAAAGAATCAAGATATTTTCTACAACCTATCTGTGAAACCGAAAGGGACACTTAGGTTCTAGAATCCTGAAAGCACCTTTACTAAAAATGGCTGAAGTCTGGAAAGCAGAGAATATAGGACACTGGGCTGGGGGCTCTACATCCCTTTGCCCATCAGAGCATTAGTACCATAGTTATAAGTTTGTGCCCGCCACTTTACTAATTATCTTTTTATTTGGAAATTGAGTCATTAGATAATACCTATACCTAAGAATGTTCCTACTTTAAGGCTCCATGATTTCATTTTTCTGCTGCCAAGAGCTCTATAGTGGTCACCGGCACAACATAGAGACCTGAGACCTGATTCCTG